GAGGTAGTGAGGATGGTGCAGGCTAGGGCAAGGTTCAGAAGAGAATCAGTGCAAAACCGTGAGACGGCACGGCATAATACAAAATGAGATGACATGGCAGCAATGTTGGCAACAACAAAGGTGGCAGAAACCAGACTGCTATGAAACAGCTGTCAGCTCCTGGCCCATGAAGCAAGCACTGAGTGCCTGCTGGAGGAATGGGTACCTTAGGACATTTTCTGAGGGAGTTATATCTCCTGATCCATGGACCCAGACTTTGGGTCTACACTTACTGGCAGTGATGGAGTGCTTTCAGGCATAGGTGGGATGCAACCCTAAAAGTTCTAAAGATCAAGAACCAGGGAGAAGGGGGTGCATCAGCAGAGTTAAAGAGCTTTGTAACATGTGCCTGAGTTACAAAGGCTTGGACATAAGGTTGAGAGTCAATGAGAGGTTTGCCCATAAGTAAAGCTGTAAAGAATGTGTCCTAACAGAAGAAATCTATCATGAGTGTTTCCAAACCTGAATTGTAACCTATTACTTCCCTCATAAACACTGAAAGTTTACGCATCACCTGTGAGTTCCAGGTGGCCATTGCAATGTATTATCTAAGCCAGAAGAACAGCAGTGAGTGCCATGGGAGAACTGTCAGAATTATAAGCAACAGCTTTGGAGTGTAGAGGATAGGGATATGTCTGACTCATAAGAATTGTCTAACAGCCTGTGAAAAACCAGGTGTGAAAGCTCTGCCTGAACCAAGTGGAGGGATTGGCTGGCCTATTAGACTCTCACTCAGGAATTTAAACTGCAGTTAAGGGGGGAGAATTAAAACACTGGTAGATGGAGTAGAAAGAACACAAATGGAAATAGACATGATACACAGAGATGAATAGATAATAGCTGTGCGAGAATCACCGGGCACCTATTACCACCAAAGTGAGCAAAGTGTTCAGAACCACAGTGCGGCTGAAAGCAGACTCAGGCTCCAGGAGGTCTGGCTGGCCAACGGATGATAGGCCCTTCTTGATATTTTCATATACTGTCTTACTCTAAATCCTCATTTCTAACCGTTATCTAAATTCATCTCTATTCCTTGTGGCCAAAAGATGTTAACAGAATGAGCCATTTTCTTTTAATAAAATGAAAATATTTAAGTATAATTTCAAGTGCTTTTAAAAAAGTAAAATTCTTTTCATCTGTGTTTTTAAATAAAACACTACTAACCTTTGTTACAGGGAGCTCTGGTGGTGCAGTATGCAGCACGTTGTGCTGCTAACCGGAAGGCTCAGTCTCTGGTACTTCAAATCCACTTCCAGCTCCACCATACAAAGATGGGCAGTTTCTTCCCATAAGGGGTTGATTAGACATGTAATTCATTAATCACATCACTCAATGGTAGTTAATGTCATAATGTGTCCATGAAAGACTGTATGAAAAACCAATATAATTAAGTATACCTCATATAATTAAGTATAATAAGTATACCTTCAGTCAAATTAAAGAATTTTTTTAATTACTAAAAAAAATATTTACAGCCTCAGAAATCCAATGGAAGGTCAAGAACAAGTCAGAACTGACTCAAGGCAGTGAGTAAGTGAATGTATATATGGTGTCTTTATTCCAAAGGCTTTATAATAAAAGCCCATTTTGGATGTGAGACGGTGGCCACTCAATTAAAGGAAAACTAGTTTCTTAGGGTAACCCATATTCCAACTCTTAATATTTATCAAACTTTGATGATGATACAACTTATGATACTGTCTTTGGCAATAAAATAAGAAATAGGAATTTTCCTGATGTCTCGGCATTTTCACAAAAGCCCAACACTGAGGACATTGGGAGACAAGTTTCTTTGCATGATGTGAAGAAGCCCTAATCTCATTCATGCATGAATTACTTTTAGGGGGGAAAAAAAACACAGAGGCAAAAACAGGCCTAAAATTCAGTGGCACTGAAAAGAGGACTCAGGTTAGAGGAATCAAGCTTTTAGCGGGTTAAGGGGTATTGTAGCATTTCCCCATATATGCCACATGCCAAGTGTGCAATATTCCCAAGCAAAGCATGCAAAGAGAACAGGTTAAGAAGAAGATGAGATAGGTATCCCCAAACCCCAGACATCTGTCAGAACAGGATTTAGAATTGTCCAGGGAAGAACCTGACCTATATTCCAAGGAGTATGAGGTATATGCAACAGACAGTGGTACCTATTTCTTGTTTGTATATAAGTCTGACGGCAGAAGGTTGACTAAGCAACTCACGCAGTAGGAGTTGAAGAAAGAAAACGTCCTCTTTCCTTCAATCTAAGTGGATATTATAAAAAGTGACACCATTTAAGTTGTCCTGAAAGGACCTCTTTCAAGGAAGGTAAGTGCAATGGCAAGGCAGGCCAAGCAGAATGTGGTGATATGCAGTGCTGTTTCACAAGAGGTCAGTCAGGGAATGGTACAGTATGGAAGTCCACACAGGTAGTCTTGAAGAATCAAACAATATGTCCCTCAACAAAGAGCTAGCATGTCAGCACCTAGCACACAAAAGAACCCAGGAGCTGTTTCATTCTAATTCTCCATCCATCTCACTCACTCCAGTCTTAGAGAAGCCAGGTGAGCACAGAAAGGAAAAGCAAAACAAATCACTCTCCCTTCCCCACTGAGGATCCCTGGGCCAGACTTCAGCAAAAGGAAGAAGGAAAGCTTTGAATTCCATAGATTATTTTAAACTGAGTAACATACTTTCAAGTCCAACTATAAAGTGGTTTGAATTACTGAAGAGAAAGAAAAGGTGAAATAGCAAGGGGTCAGGAATACAGATCCAACAGTTTATTTTTAAAACTGGTGGGAAATTTCCAAGCTATTTTGTGATTGTACCTTCTGCATTTAACCCATCACATGCTTTTAACGGTTCAATTTTTTTTATTTCACATAAACGTTGGGAAAGCAAATACAACTATACCAAACAGCAAAGAGTTCAGACAGAATGTATTTCCACATATATCCATGTATGTGTTAGAACAAACAGGGAGCAAAGTTATGCAAACTTCCTGGTCATAATTGATGTCTTAAGAGAACGATTCACAAAGCTGCTAAGGGGCTTAAAATCACAATTGCAAAATGGCAAGACATAGAATTTTCACAGAGGAAGATATTTAAAAGGCCAACAGACATATGAAGAAATGCTTCAAATCACTGGCAATAAGAGAGATGCAAATCAAAACCACAAAGAGGTACCACCTCATTCCAGTAGCAGTGGCAAAGTTTAACAGGACAGCAAGTAATAAATGTTGGAGAGGCTGTGCTGAGATGGGAATTCTGTTACATTGTTGGTGGGATTGTAAAATGGTACAACCACTATGGAAAGCAGTTTGGTGTTTCCTCAAAAAGCTGAACATAGAAATTCCATATGACCCAGCTATTCCACTGCTTGGAATTTACCCCAAGAAAATGAGAACTGTAGCTCAAAGAGAAACTTTTACACCAATGTTCACAGCAGCATTTTTCACCATCACAAGAACATGGAAACAGCCCAGATGTCCAACCACAAACAAATGGATTGAGAAGTTTTGGTACATTCATACAACGGAATACTACGCAACACGCAGGAGCAATCATTTTGTAAATTACTACCTAACTTGAGAGGAACTGAAGAGCATTACGCTAAGTGAACTAACTCAGTCCCACAAGGACAAATACTGTATAAAACCATTATTGTAGAATGAAGGGAGCTCTGGTGGCCTAGTGGCAAGAAGTTGCACTGCAATCCCAGAGGTACGTGATTCAAATCCACCAAATGCCTCCTTCTGTACCAATCAGATCTGATTTGATGGTACACATACAAAAAATAATAAAAATAAAAATTAAAAAAGACAACAAACTGTTGTTATTGTAATGAGTATGAAGATCCAAGGAGGGAGGAGGGTTGAAGCATAGGGGTGAGGATGGGTGGGGGTTGCACAATTTGATGTGGGGGGGGAAGTGAAGGAAATGGGAAGTATCTCTTGTGAAAAACAATGTATTCAAACTTTGTAAATAAATCAGTACAAATTTAAAAAAAAAACGGTCTCAGGACACATCCAGGTCAATTGGCATAACACAGTTCACAAAGACAATGTTCTTACTGTAGACAGTAGCAACTAGGGTCTTAAACACTGGAGAGCAGCCATCTGAGATACAACCATTTCTCATCCCACATCAAGAAGAAAGAAGAATGAAGAAAGTCAAGGACCTGAGGGAACAGCCCAAAGGACTAATGGACCACATAATCCACAGCCTCTAATACCCAGAGACCAGAAGAACCAGTTGGTACCCAGCTACCACCACTGAAGCCTCTGCTCAGGACAACATAAGACCCTGAATAGAACAGGAGAAAAATGTAGAACAAACTTCAAAATCATATAAAAGACCATATTTACAGGTCTCATAGTGGCTGATGGAACACAGGGGTTATGTGCTTGAGACACTTTTAAATCTGGAACTGGACCCACCATTCCTGAGGAACTCCTTACAGCCAAACAACACATGTGATTGTTGTTAGATGCCATCAAGTTGAGTACAACTCATAGCAACCTTAAGAACAACAGATCTGAACCTTGCCCTGTCCTGAGCCATCCTTACCATCTCTGATATGCTCCAGCGCATTTTTACAGTCACTGCAACCATGCACTTTGTTGAGGGTCTACACACAGGTTTATTACCAAATGAATAATAACAATGATGAGGATCACACCTTCTCAGGATAATCAATCTTAAGAGACCAAAAGGGCTGTAATTACCCCAAAATAAAACTCGGAAGATAGGAAGGGACAGAAAAGAAGGATACATGGAAATGGGGAAATCAGGTAGGAAGTGAGAAGAGTGCTGTTACAGTAAGGGGACTACAACTAAGGTTACAAAATGTTTAACAAATGTTAAATGGGAAATGAGTGTGCTCTTGTAAACTGCCATCCAAATCACAATAAAAATAAATAAGTTTAAAATAAAAACAAGTACATTTTTACTTAACAATTAAAAACCCCATGCAAATCTTACCTTTGAGAAGAGACTTCGTGCCTCTATACTATATCCTTTAAGGTCCTCGTGTAATTTATGCAAACACTGCATGACTCTTCTTTGATGTTCATCATCCTTTAGCTCATGAGCTTTGATCAGAAAGTCATAGTGGTCCAGGGGTCCTTGGCAAACAGCCAAAGCTTTTGAATACGCCTCTGCTGCAGTAGTTACAGGGGTACCCTTGGATGTCTGAACTGCATAGGCTGTAAACAACAGGATATAAGAAATTTTAGACTCTCTTATGTGAAGATATTTTAGAGTTCTATATATGTTTGTTAAAGGTCACATTAAAACTCTTTACTCATTTTAAGTGTATACATTTGAGCAATTTCTTTAAAGATCTTGTTTATAAAAGTAATAACACAAAAATATTTTGCACAATAAATTTATTTATAATTGTTTAATGGGAGGACATAATATCTGTTGTTGTTGTTATGTGCCATCAAGTTGCTTCAGATGAAGCCTCAGAATCCTTGCTTCCAAAGAGCAGCCTGGTTTAACCCTCTCCAAGATGAACCTGTTTGTCTTCTTAGCAGTCCACGGTACATTCAATACTCTTCTCCAGCACCACAGTTCAAAGGCATCCATTCTCCTTCTAGTCTCCCCAGTCATTGTCCAACTCTCTGTAGCATTACAATTGATTGCAAAGACCGTGGCTTGTATCAGGCACACCTTAGTCTCAAGAGTGACACCATTGCTCTTCAGTACTTTGGAAAGGTCCCTATGACAAAGGGACATAAACTCTACAACACACTATTATTGGGACCTGTGTTATAGAGTCTCTGCTTTGTCTCCAATCTATCAAAGAAGTCACCTGAATTTTCCAGATCCTTCTCCAAATCCAGGGTGGTGTCTTTCTTTGACACCAGGTCTATTTCAGTTTCTCATGCACCAAGACTGAGGTGGAGAAACTAATCACAAAGAATTTCTAAGGCCTCTTTAATATCTATCCAAAACAATACATTTAGGTATTACCATAGTGCTGTCGGTGCTCTGCTCATGAAACTTATTTCCATAATCTTTTTTTAAAACTGGTTTGCTTACAAAGTTCATATACATAGTGTTTCACATTATTCCTCATTCATATTGTATTGTATTTTATACAATCATTCCCATGTTTTATGTCTTATAAAATTAATCACCATTGGACCCTGCCCAGGATTACCTGTCTTTTCACCCAGATCCTTCCCATTTCCTTCACCCCTTCCCTCAACCCACAAACTGTGAAACCCTGTGCTTTTGTCCCTACCCATCCTCAGACCTCTGCTCCCATCCATTTCCCCTTTGGGTTCCCATACATGTTTTACTAATTATCCTTCTATTTTTACAATATTAGTCTTACGCGATATTTGTCCTTATGAGACAGAGTTAGTTCACTCAGTATTATGATCTCCATCTCTCCCATGGTATGTAGTATTTTTTGAGGGCTGAACACAGAGGATAGGGACATAGCAGGTATCTGCTTAAGACAGTATTTTGATCCTTTTAATAACCTCATCTGTATCACAAAAAAATTGGTGGTGGTGGTTCCCACTCATAATTCCACTCAATATCAAGGGCAGGTTCAATGAACAGATTAAGAAACAACAAAAAAGGCAGAAATCTGGCACAATTTTAAGATGAAGATTTCTCAAAATGCTTTCAGAATATTTCACTTGTTTTACTGAATACTGTGCTTCCTTTGGTAACAAGGTTGGTGATATTAATTTCCTTTGTAACTAATAGTAATAAAGGAAGAAATTCAAGCTGCTCTGAAGAAATTGGCAAAAAAGCAAGGCCCCAGGAATTGATGGAATACCAATTAACATATTTCAACAAGCAGATGCAGCCCTGGACATGCTCACCAGATTGTGCCAAGAGATATGAAGGGTTGACTGGAAGAGAACCATGTTTGTTCCCATTCCAAAAAATGGTGATCCAACAAAATGTGGAAATTCTTGAACAATATCATTAATATCACATGCAAGCAAAATCTTCCTGAAGATTATCCAAAAAGAACTGGAGCAGTACATCAACAAAGAATTGACAGAAACATAAACTGGGTTTAAAAGAGGCCATGGCACTAGGAATATCATTGCTTATGTCAAATAGACCTTTGCTGAAAAGAGAGTACCAGAAGGCTATTTATGTTTTATCAACTATGCAAAAGCACTTGACTGTATGGGTCACAACAAATTGTGGCTAACGTTGAGAAGAATGGGACTCCTACAACATTTAATCATGCTAATATGAAACCTAGACCTAGACCAAGGTTCTATGGTGTGAACAGAGCAAGGGAACACTGCATGGTCCAAAATCAAGAAACGCATATATCAGGGATGTATCCTTTCTCCAAACCTTTTCAATCTATATGCTGAAAAGATCATTCGAGAGGCTAGACTTTATGAAGAAGAATGCGACATCAGGATTGGAAGAAAACTCATCAAAAACCTTTGTTATGCAGATGACACACCTTGCTCACCAGAATGAATGGAAATCCAAAGTCTCTGTAAACTTTCATGAAAAACAATTTAAAATTAAAAAAAAAACCCAAATAAACTGAGGAGGACTTGAAGTGCTTGTTGCAGAAGATCAAAGACTGAAGCTTTCTCTATGGATTGCATCTCAACATCAGCAAAACAAAAAATGTCATCACCAATAGGCAGCAACATGACAGATGGAGAAAAGACTGACATTGTTAACAATTTCATCTTGTTTAGATTCATAATCAACATCCATGGCACTAGCAGTCAAAAGAAATATAAAGACATGTTGCATTGGGAAAATCTGCTGTCAAAGACTTCTCCAGCGAGCTAAAGACCAACAATGTCAGTCTAAAACTAACACATACATGATCCAAACCATAGTCTTCTTAATTTTTTTCTATGTGTCTAAGAGGTGGACAATGAACCTTGTCAGAAGAATTGATGCCTTTCAATTGTGGTGCTGGAGAAGATTATTGTTCTTTTTGCCAAGAGAACCAAGAGGTCTGTCCTGGAGAGGGTGAAAACAGTTCGTTTCTGGGAGAAAAGGCTTTTGAAACTTCATCTCACATGCTTTGGGCATGTTGTCAGGAGGTGCCGGGCCTTGGAGAAGGACATCATGCTCAGAAATGTAGCGCATCACTCAAGAAAGGAAAGCCCTGGATGAGATGGAGTGACATAGTGACTGTGGCAATAGGGTGAGATGTGTCAGAGCCAGTCAAGTCAACCCAGAACAGGTTAAGATTCAGAGTCATTGTTCACAGAGCAGTTATGAGTCGTAGCCAACTTGACAGTACACACCACCACCACCACCATTTTCTTTGTTGCAGTAACAAAAAATAATTTACTAGGAAGAAAATTAACAGTCACAATGTTATTTTTATCTTTTTCCCAAGAAAGAGAAGAGGGGGAAATCAAGAATATACCAATGTTCAAGATAGAGCTGGACTGTCTTCCAATAATTATCTTCCTTTCTGAAGAGATATTTTTAGCTGAGCATGTAACTGCCCAATTAAATACTATATTTTCTGAGTTCTCTTGCAATCGGGTTTGGCCATGTTGTCAAATTCTAAATATTAGATAAGAGCAGAAATGTGCTCGATGTACTCAAGGAGAAAAGATGTATCCTCCTCTCTCCCTTTTCCTCTCATCCCTTTGGCTGGAATAAGTGTGATGATAGCAGCTGAAAATGCAACTGAGAAATAAGATGCATGCATAATGCTAAGCAAAGCAGAGCAGTAAGGCAGACAGAGGCTGGTTCCCCAACAATGCTGAGCCACCAGCTCAGCTCTACAATGTTGTTGTGATGTGCCATCAAGTCAGAACCAACTCATAGCTGAGCCACCGGTGGGTTTTCAGAGGTTGACTGACTTAGGCTCAAGTATGGCAGTGAGAATGAGGATGGCACAGGGGAGGGCAGGATTCAGATCTGCCATTTAAAGAGTTGCAATGAATTATAGTTAACTCAACAATGCCTAACAATAACAAATTACATGGAAAGAGACTGCACAACTTTCTCCTGTGGAGCAGCTGGTGGACTTGAACTGTGTAACTCAGGGTTGGCAGCACGACTCCTTATTACTAAGCTGCCAGAGCTCCCTAGCTCTAAGAAACACCTACCTAGATTTTTATATGAAAGGAGACCAAATTCATTTTCTTCTTAAAGTAGCATGTTTTGGGGTCTCTTTGTTATGTCGTTGCTGTTAGATGGTAACAAGTTAGCCCTTACTCATAACAATCTTATATACAATAGAATGAAAACTTGTCTGATCCTGTGTCATCTTCACAGTCTCTTATGCTTAAGCCTATTGTTGCAATGACTATGTCAATCCATACTATGTCGATCCATACTCTACGATTTTTCAAAGCATGAAGTCTTTTTTCAAAGACTGGTCTATTCTGATAACATGTGAAAGCATATGAGATGAAGTTTTACTTACCATCCTTGCCTCTAAGGAGCACCAATACAGATTATTGATGCTGTTATTATGTACCACTGACATGGCATTAACTCAGAGCTGACCCTTCAGCACATTTTCAGAGGTAGTTAAATTGCTAGGGAGGAGACTGCCTATATTCCTCCCACAGAGCAGCTGGTGGGAAGACAATTCCTTACCACTAAGCCTCAGTTAAACTTCATTTTATTGCCTCTGAAAATTTGTCTGAAGGGTCAGCTATGGGTTCTTTCCAACTGTATGGCAAACAACAACAATAAAGAAGGTTCAAAACTACCACCCCTCTGTTAGTTTATTGTACCATGGTTGTTTGCAAATTGCTGCAATAGATATGTCACTGACATTTCAAATACCAACAGTCATCCACAGTGGACAGATTTCAGCATTACTTCCAAATTAGGACAATCTACTTGAAAAAATTAGCCAGTGGAAGTCTTATGGATCACAACAGAACATTGCTCAGGTTGCTTGTTTTATTTTAATTAATCAGGACGTGGTG